CACAAAAGATCGCCCATCAACCTGGGGAGAGGTAAGGGTACACTTTTTTTATACACCATCCGGGCGCTTCCAATTTATGGGGACCTTTTGAAGGCATGATCTTCAGAAGGTCTTCGTATTAACAGCCCAATCCAGGTCTTGCAAACATGGGGCATGTGCTAGCTCTCTTGTGCCCTTATTCCTTCACTCAGAAGGAAGAGGGGAGATCTGTCTATTTGCGAAGGCTTTCTGTGCAAGCCAGGACACCAATTTTCCTCCATTCTTGTTGTGCAGACAGCCTTCACAAGCCTCTTCAACGCTGTCATGTTTGCATGAGCATGGTGTTTTCCCTCCACACCCATTCTGGGAGTTCTGCCTACCTTGTAGACACCTTACAAACCCCTCAGTGTGATACACCTGGGAGAAAGGTCAGGCTTTGGGGCTCAGAGAGGTGTTTATAGAGTTGCTCTTTCCAAGATATCATCATTCAGTTTGTATCTCCACCCCCACCTCTCCTTTGCATGGCTTGGATCAGGTTGAAACGCTGCTTCATTTATTGGCTGAACAGGTGTTCAGCCCATCAAAACCCTCCGTCTTCTGGCAGACACCCACTCAGAGGCTTCCCTGCTCCACCTCCTCCAGGTGGGTGCCTGCTGGAGGAGGTGGGGCTTTGAAGTGCCAAACACCAGTTTGCCCGATAAACAAACATGCGCGAACCACCGAACTGGCAGTTTGGACCCGTGTCTATCAGGAACCAGAGGAGATCCAGGGTGGTACTCCGGTTTGGTTTCCTTTGGAGGTGGGATGGTTCGCTCCTTTTGTCGATGATCAGATGATGTAAGTGCCAGCATGAACCAGGCCATCCCCAAAGCATTTCTAGCTGCACTTTTCTGAATCTCTATCAGGGGCTGCTGTTTTTGAGATGGCAGGTAGGATCTCTGTTTTGGTTTGTTTCCGGTACACACGATCCCGGAATTGAACCAAATCAGTACCTGATGCTTTTACGTTTCTCCTCCACTCAGTTTTCCAATAACTTTCTAAAAGCAAAAGGCAGAGAGAAAAACTCTGGTGACAGCTGCATAAATTTCTTGCTGTAACTTGTTCCTATCTTCTCTCAAACTGTGTGTGTGTCTTCCTGATTCTTTGCCTTCTAAGAACAGCTTGCACGAGCCGAAGGATTACTCTGCTGAGCTGTGGGAAATGAAAAAGACTGGGGGAGGGAGGGTCTCCTTACTACTACCGATTAGGGTCAGCTCACCATGCCTGGTAAGCCAGGTAAAAGTTGATCTGTTTTTTCTAATGGATCGCCATGAACAGTTGGAGAAATAGCTGAGAAGCCCAGCCACCCACTAGTCAGGCCATCTGATGCTGCAGCACTGTAGTAAAGCAGTGATTCCCAACCTTGGGTAACGCTGCAGCATTGTAGTAAAGCAGTGATTCTCAACCTTGGGTAACCCAGGTGTTCCTGGACTACAGTTCCCAGAAGCCTTCACCACAAGCCAATGGTGCTCAGGATTTCTGGGAGATGTAGTCCAAGAACACCTGAGTTACTCAAGGCTGGACACCACGGTACTAATGCAACTCTGGCGATTGGAAATTTTCTTTCTGGGCTACAACACCTTGTAGTAAAGCAGTGATTCTCAACCTTGGGTAACCCAGGTGTTCCTGGACTACAGTTCCCAGAAGCCTTCACCACAAGCCAATGGTGCTCAGGATTTCTGGGAGATGTAGTCCAAGAACACCTGAGTTACTCAAGGCTGGACACCACGGTACTAATGCAACTCTGGCGATTGGAAATTTTCTTTCTGGGCTACAACACCCCAAAATCCATGGCCAGTATCAGGTTCCTGAAGATGTCACCCCCCAAAAGGGGGGGATTTCCTCTCTTTGTACATCTAGCAAATGGTTTGAGGAAAGGGGTCAAAACCTTATAGGGATGGGCTTCTGAAGTTGAATAGATTTGGAATAAGAGAGACCACTTTGTCTTTTTGGCCCTTTTGAGAAATGCTTTTATAAAACTTTAGGTGACTGTAGAGAGATGGTTCCTTAGAACAAAAAAGAACTGCTGGACAGCTCAGTGGCTTAGTTCTCTCTGGCTGCGAAGCCAGAGGTTGGGAGTTCGATTCCCCTACGGTGCCTCCTTGACAGCGGCTGGACTTTGTGATCCATCGGGTGCCTTCCAGCTCTGCAGTTCCAAGATTCTTCTTCTTCTTCTTCTTCTTCTTCTTCTTCTTCTTCTTCTTCTTCTTCTTCTTCTTCTTCTTCTTCTTCTTCTAATAATAATAATAATACTAATACTAATAATACTAATAA